ACGCAATCGGAGCGATTGCTAAAGGATAAACTGCCTTTAGAAAGGGGATGATGATGGTCACCAAGCCCTGATGGTCGAGAATGGAGGTTACTTTTTCTTTTTAAATTATTTTCAGCCATCACAACACATGCAGATACATATAGCACACATGCAAACAGACAGACAGACATACAGACACACTCACATGCGTCGAAGGTGACATGTCACTTGATCTAACCAAATCACTTGATACCATCTCCAAAGAGCCTACATTCAGTTTATCCGAACAGCATTTAGGCGAGTTTTCTCGACTCGATTGCTTGAATATGGTTGCTAAGATGATATCATCTGTTGTGAAGATGTCCGTCTGATTATGGCAGGCGAATGATTAGCGCATAGAAGAACTGGGCTTCGAAGAATCGCCCAGTTACTTAATGCTGGAGTACCCTCCAGTTCGTGTGAAGAGGCGAGGGTTAGGAATTGGTAAGTTGGTTCCACCGGAGGCTGTGGTTGTAGAATTGTGCCAGCAGGTCCACGGCACACCGGCCTGCGATGTTAGTTTTCTACACAATTTCCATAAAACATGTTGCGCTGTCCCGACGATGTCGGTCACATGCGGACGAACGGTGAACTGGGATTGCTCGGGGTGACAGACTGTGTGTGAAAAGAGATATTCGCACAAATGTACAATCACAGCTCCAATGTGGTGATGCCAACTTACGAATCTCTTCCACACGAACTGGAGGGTGCTCCAGCGTCAAGTTGCTGGGCGATTCTTCGAAGCCCATTTTCCATGTGCTAAAACATTCGTCTGCTATAATCAGATGGACATCCTCACAGCAGATGATATCCCCCTAGCAACCATAGTCAAGCAATCGAGTCTATACAACTCACCTGCTCATCTCTAAAGGCTGTACAGATAACCTAACTCTGGGCGATTTGGTTAATCCAAGTCAGATATTAGCTTCCAAGTATGTGAGTGTGTGTGTGTGTGTATGTGTGTGTGTAGATGACTGCATGTTTTCAAAGTAATGCGAACAAAAACGTAAAGTTTGTTCTCGGCTATCCCTTCCGCTCGCCTCTTCGCACCAAATGAAAGCTACTTCAATTTGCAAACTTAGCCGCTGCTGATTGTCCTTTTGATGGGCTCCACTTTTGCATCGTATCACTCACATCTTTTCACACATTTTCACTCGAAATGCAACTAGGCTCAATAATTATGAAACGAGAGATTACTTGAAAGACAACTTTGCTTCACACATACCCTTCACAACCTCAACCCCAGCCCCTGCTCACCTCAAGCGTCTTGGATCTGGCCAACTTGAGCACTGTCACCAGACTAGTGACTTTACGCTGCTTCAGCTGGTTTATGAGGAAGTTGAAACGTGCCATCCTTCGTTTCCAGTAGTTCACTTCCGTGTGGGGCCCGTCCTGTTGAGACTCCTCTCGGACCAGATCCAACTCTTGAACCTCCTGGAGTCGGGAAGGGAGCAAAAAAAGCGACAAAATCTGTTCGAGTTACTGCATTCCACGGCAGACATAAAATGACCGTGGTTTTTTGCCAAATCCATTAGGCACAATCAAAGCAAAAGTCATTTCGAGCCTGAATTAGCCGCTGTCTCGTTTCAACACACCTCCTCTTGAAAACGGAACTTTGTGATCACATGGCCTCTATTCGGCCGAGGTAGCTTCATAAATCAACTGAGTTGGTCCTACGAATCCAGTCAATTTGACCCTACATTTATTCATAACAAGAGGGGGGTTCAACTTATCACAAGTTTGTGATTTTAAGTTATACTCAATCTAGACGGCTTAGGATGATAAAGATGATGTTGTGGACATTTCCCACAACAAAATGTCTAAATCTCATCACCTCCCTCCAAAAGGATGCATTCCCGTCTCGGCCCAACTGCCGTTTCGGCTTTCCCTCGGTACCGTCTCAATACCACCACGACGGGCTTCGAATCCGATGCCACCAAGGCTACTGGGCCACGGGGCAGCAGAAGAGGCAAGCCAGGCCTCTTTCTCATCACATTTCTACTGGGTGTTAAGATGAGATAAACACGTAGCTCTGCGATCTATTCGCCCAATTTACTTCAAGCCAGAGATTCCCAAACTGTGCGCCGCGAAATATTGTCAAAAGCTTTATAATTAATTTAACCCAAACATTTGGCCTAACTAAACTAAAAGGTGAGAGAAAACGCACCATATGATCGCACTAGACACGTCGAGATGCGTAGAACATTCGCCACAGATTTGGAATGTTCTGGAAGATCTTGCGGAAAGTACATAAACAAGCGTTGCCGGCTCGATTCAGTCAGTCAAGTTATAATTTGAGTCTGGTGAAGTTAAACTGAGCGCTTCATATATGCATAAACAGTGACATAAATAAGTAAATGAGTTAATATTGTAATTTACTTAGTGTTATATTACTTCTTGTTTGTTGTCCTTGATAAATTATTTTGTGATTTTTGGCTCTTGTATCTTTGATAATGGACCGATTTTTGAACAGTCATAAACGTAATAGTGCAGATAAAGAAAGTATACCTTTAACCAGTGGCACTGGTGTGAAGAAACGAAAATATCGTAAAGCTGATGACGGTTATTTAGAGTTTAGTTTCTAATTCCATTTTATACGTCGTATTTGTGCAAAGCTGGGTTTTCGGCGGTCGCTGTGATAGAAAGCAAGTATAGAGCAAAAATCAACGTGTCCAGTTTAATTCCACGATTTGAGAAAATGTGGAGTGATTTAATGTTAATAAAGTAAAAAAAATAATGAAGATACACGAGTTTTATTCATTTTTATCTCTTACTTACCAATAGTCATACTTAAGGTAGGGCGCCATGGACGAATTTAAGTGAAAAAGGTCGCCGTGACTAGGAAAAGTTTGGGAACCACTGGTTTAAGGTGACAAGGGAACATGTAGTTAAACCTTCCCAAAATCACGCTTGCATTGAATTTCATGCAGACTTGTGTTCTCAATAGGTATTCTCATCCCGGCTGGTGTGGACTTCAGTTCCGATCTCGCATCACCGGGTCTCGTTGGCACCCAAGCAAAACTCGAACCATGACAGTTCAGCATATAATCTCGACAAATTAACTACTACGCCATATTGACAAGAGTGCCCTTGGGCCACAAAGCAGATATGCATTTTAAAGAAGGCCAGGCATTTTCACATATCACATTCCACGGTCCGATTGCGATGAAATAAGTCGAATTCGCTATAGCAATTGACTACATTATTTATGAGATGTATTCACCCTATTTCGTGTAAGGTGATGAAGGACTGGTAGTAGAATTTTCCCACAATGATTAGAGTTGAGCTGACGTTTCCATTGAATTTCACATAGCTTTGCTTTCCCAAAAGTTGTTCTAATCCTGGGTGGACTGCAGTTTCGACCTCGCATTGGTCTTATCAACAC